CCGCCGCCCGCCCCCCCCCCTGCGCTCCGCCTCCCCCACCGAAACCACCTGGCGGGCGGGTCTGGCAGAAACCGCGCCAGGCCTCCCGGGCCGGCTGGGAGGGGCGCCCTTAGCCAGGACACCCTAGCCCTGCCATCGTCCTGGCCCGCCCGGTGGGGCGGATCCCGACAGACCAAAGGTCGCCCCGCCCGGGGATCCCGGCGCTGCCGGCCAAGCTGGGCCCGCGGGGTCGCTCTGTACCTCCCTCACTCTTTGTGCTGTCCCCGCCCCTGCAGGTTGATCCTGAGGACACTCTCTCAGGCTCAGAGGTCTCTGCTGGCCCCTGACATGCTGCACTGTATAAAATTATTTTATTTTTTCAGCTGGTTAGACTCTCAAGTAGACAAAAACATAGGGAATAGTGTTATTGGCTGGGCTGGTTTGCACACTTTGCAGGTCTATCCAATTTTCTCGGGTCCTGTGGTGTCTTGTCCTCTTCTCGCTCTCTTAAGGTTTTATTTATTCATTCGTTTTTAAAGTTGCTATAGTGCAAGTGCGCTGAGGAGCGGGAGAGTGGACTCTCGCCCTTCATGACCACACTGTAATCCTCCTCCTCTGTTCTCTCCTCCACTCTCCTCTGGAGATTTTGGCCGTGTCCACACAGGCACCAAGCCTGTTTCTCAAGACTGGGTCCAGGACTCCAACTGCAGTGGAATCTAAGTACCACCACTTGACTGGCTTGTGTTTCATCCTCTTTAAGCTATTTTATAACTTTGTAAGTTGTAGAAAACCTGTAGTTTGCAAAAGACTTCTGGGTGAAATGCAAATGAGTTGCCCTCTCGTTATGTATTGTAATTGGCTATTACCAAGTGGATACACAGGAGTTTGGCATTGATTAGTAAATTTATTTTAGTATTTCTGTTTTCCTGTGGATGTGTATTCTATGCACTCTCATCTGAACCAGCTTTAACACTCAGTGCTTTGCTTGTTAAATAATAAGTTAAAAAAAATTTGATGTGTTCATTTTGTATTTCAGTAAGTCATGATTTTTACATTTTTTAAGAGATTTTTTTTTCTATAGGGCGTGTACACTAGTTGGAGAGACAGAAAAATGATAAATCACCCCCCCCGGAGGGGATGGCCGCACTGCAATCCCTTCTCCATTCTCACATGGATTCTGGGCACGCCCCTGTGAGTTCCAAGTCACCAGATCTGGTACTCGAACCACAGCCGACTACCTGAGGGTCCAGGAACATAACCATTACGCCCTCTGTTGGTCCCATGATTTTTACATTTTTTCTAAAAATTATTCTTTAACAGTATTTTTCTGTATTTTTCATAATTTTTTTACAATGGAAATGTATTACTTTTATAATTGCTCAGAATTAAAACTATTTCTAAAATTTAAAATTAATTGTTAATTTGAAATTGTTACCGAACTCAAATCAGGTTCACTTACCCAAGCACTACAAGCCAAACGGTGTGATGAAGTGAAGTACAGCTTTATAATGAGGGCAAAGTTCTGGCCACTTTTTTCTACTCCAAAGTTATCTCCAGAGGGGGCCTGGGCAAGTCAAGCCTGTAAATATTAAAATACCTAACACATTAACAGGCTTTCACGCTAGTGGGAGGCTACATCCTCTCCTGGGTATAGTGTTTTTAATGATACATAATAACCCTTCTTATCTTTTAGAGTACCAAATATTCTTTTGCTAATTTCTTTCAGGAACAGAGACTTGCATTTTCTTTAGCCAATTACTCATCTAAGAATTTTAAACTCACCTATAACCTACAAGCCTCTGTGTCCAGATGCCCCACCTTTTGGGGCCCAGACCAATGTAAAAGATTCTTTATGTTGATTGACAACTCTACTGCTCTCAGAATGAAATAAAAGGAACCACTGTATCTCAGCACCCCCAGAAACATGTCATTATCTAGGTGTGTCGCTCAATCTAGTGATTAGCAATAAACTGCATTATTATTTCTGCAGAACTTGGTTATTTTCATTGTCAGTTACAATGTACAAAGCAAGAAAAATGAGCAGCTTATGAGGAAAAGGGGCTCCCCAAGGGGCTCCCCACACGCATTTTTAAGTACAAAATCAAGGCCAGAGATCCCAGACACATGATTGGTTCAATGATCTGTTCAAGAGGCATGATAACCTTGGGGCCAGCAGGTGGCTTGGTGGTTAAGGCGCTGGATACTCTCTCATGGCCGACCATGGTTCAAGTCCTGACTGGTGGCTTGCTTTCTGACTTTTCTTTTCTCTGTGTGTCTGTTTTTTTTCTGGTCAAATGTAAATGGTTGAATGAATAAATAAAGTAATATAAATAATTCTTTTTTTTAAAAAAAAGGCATGATAATCACATGGGCCTTCTTGATTGGCCAGGCCTTAGATAATCAACTTCTATTCTGGAAGGGGCTAGTCATCAGGTTTCTGGTACCCTTCACCCTGAGGCCTCTGTGCTCCCAGCCAGCCGTTTCCATTCTACAAAACATCTTGAATATTTAACTTAAAATCTTGCCTTTCCTTTCAGTGGGAGTTTTAGAAGTCATGTCCCCTAGTTATGGCCAGTATGTTTGATTACCCTAACCAAAGTTTGAAGTCTTAAACCTTACTTGGGGCCATTAAAATGAACATGAACCTTATATCCCAAACCCCTTAAAAAAGACATTTTACTTTTAGGTCAGCCCTTATCAATTTTCAGGTTGGGAAGTGCTTATTATGTTTCAACAGAAGGAAACTGAGAGCTCATCCTTTTTTAGGGTGACCCTCCTTCATTTCAAAATAATTTTGAACATTCTAACATGGGTAGTACCAGGAATGGATATCTCTGTCTTTACTTTAAAAATAATAAAGTAAAAACTGTGGTAAAATACACATAACATAAATTTACCATCTTAGCCACTTTTAATGTATATTTCAGCATTAAGTATGCGAGAAATGCCATCCAATGCCAAAGAATGGACAAAGAGACACGAGGTATGGGAAGGCGAGACTTTAATGGCAGCCTTGCAAGATGGAGTGTCTGACGGGCAGGCACGCCCAAATAAGTTACAAGCAATTCCCAGTTCCTCATTGGCTGACTACTATGGGGTTTACAATCTTCTATGTTTTATTATTCCTTTATTAGGTACCAAGGCACAGGATCAGGACTGGGCCTGTGAAAAGCCCTACTAAATGCCCTGAGTAGGGAGAAGAAATGGGAAGTAAAAATAAAATAAAATGAAAAATAAGAGAGCATAAAGGGCTGATGACCAGCCACCATTTTAAGAAGGTTTTTTTTTTCAAGGGTGACTTGTCATTTTTGGATTTTATTTGTTCAGAAACTTTTTGGGAAAACGTATTTTCTGGGGTAATTACTTCTGCAAGTTGGTTGTACACTTTTGTTAAGCTATTCTTGAAAATGAGTCACTTAAGTCGATTTTTTTCATTTATTCATTTATTTTCTTGCATTTTCCCACAAACATTTACTTTAAATATCAAAAAATGTTTGTTCATACTTGATAGTTCTTGACAATTAATAAACAACTTTCAAAATTTCAAAAAAGTTAATTTTAAAGATAACTTTCAAGATACTTGTTATAATTTTGTGACTCTAACAATGAAGACAGTATGGTTTTAAATATTTTTGAGAAATATTTACATGTCCACTACTCGAACTGTTGAAAAGCAATCACTCAGCACACTTTACTCATGAACTTTCCCAACTAAGCTCTGCCTATCAAGTATTCAGTGGTATACCATCTGCTAGCAAAGATCAGTCTCTTTATTCCTTCAAAGTCTTCCTCAAGGTAATCCTCTGGTTGTGGCTGCTCTTTTGCAATCTCTGATTACAATGCTGGTATGAATTCTTTCGTATGGTTACTCTAATTCTCTCTGCCAGGCAGAACTGTTTATGGTGCCAGGCAATCTTCCGAAGAGATTCTGTTGGTTTTCTTGAGATCTACCTTGGTTCCATAGTTTTCTGGTTATATTTTCAGATATGACATTCCAGTCAAACTCTTGTCAATAACGAGTATTTTCAATTTCCTTCTTTCTTTTTTGAGATGATTTTGCTATAGGCCACATGTGCTACCAGAAAGACAGAGAGAGACAGAGAGACAGAAAGTGAGAAATCGCCCCCCCAAGAGGGATGGCCACACTGCAATCCCTTCTCCTCCATTCTCCTGTCAGAATCTTGGGCACTCACGCACACATGCCTGCTGTGAGTTTAAGCCACCAGGTCCAAGACTTGAACCGCGGTCAATTACATGGGAGTCCAGTGACCTAGCCATCACGCCAACTGCTGGTCCCATCCAATTTCTGATGAAAGGCAGCAGGTATTATTGAACTTATGTAAATAACCCTTCTGCGAAAAAATGAGAATACTCACAAATATTTTCCAATTCCAGAGGGGTAAGGAAGTGAGAAAAGTTCATGTTTCAATTTTAAAAGCAAATAAACAAACAAGAATTTAACAAATTGCTGAACCAATCAACAGCTGAAAAGAAGACAAAAATCCTTAGATCTGGAAAACAGAGCATAGAAGAAAAATCAGTAATGTTTTAGTCAAAAGTCATAAAATTCTATTTCAGCAGTTCAATCTCATGTAATTAATCTCTCTCCTGTTGAATGTGCAGTGTTACTGTGTCTGATCTTTCCTTTTAAATCCTGGAAGTTAACATTCAACGTTATTATTGACATTTCCAGACTTGTCTCTAGCATTAAGTTGGTCATTGTCTTGACTGCTTTTTGTTCTCTTATTTCTTCTGTGTATCTTTAGTTTTCCTGGTAAACACTCCCTTCAGAATTTTTTTTTTCATGTTTAACAATCTTTAATTCAAATGTAAAAGTTCAATAGAAGCCATTTATGGGGCTTAGGATATGTTCTTAATTTTAAAAACAAGAATGGGGAAATGCAACAAAATGACCTTTCCCCTTTTCAAAAACTTTCAAGGAATAGATCATAATAGGGCCATAAGAGATCCATTTAACCAAATCCACTTTCTCCCCTACCAATAGTCTTAACACCCATTCCATAATCTTAATACATATTCCTGAATCAAGATACAGTTCAGTTTTGCTTACATAACCATTAAAAAAAAAAAAAAAAAAAACTCAGCACCATCTTGCTTCCTAAAATGCCAAACTTCTTGAAGAGCTGGTCTGGTGTTGGTAAATTCTTTCAGGTTTTGTTTATCAGAGAATGTTCTTATCTTTTCTTCCTGTATGAAGAATAATCTTGCCAGGTACAGGATTCTTTCTTGAAATTGTTTTCCATTTAACACTGTGAAAATATTTTCCCTTTCTTTCCTTGTTCACACTATTTCCGGTCAGACCTCTGATGTTACCCTGATGGGACTGTCAGAGGATGAGAGAGTGTTGAGATGTGTTGTGTAAAATCCTTGGTTCTGTGGGTCCAGATCACTAAAATTAGAGACCTGTCCTAGGCATAAAATAAAGCCACAACCACAATAAAAGTAGGTAGGAAAGAGAATTTAATAGGAAAGAAAGATTGTAGAAAAGAAGTACACCCAAAAGACTTTTGGGCAGGCAGGTTACTAGGTGGCAGCAAACTGGTTAGGTGTTATTTTTATTACCAGAGGTGATAATGAACATTTAACAGTGGGAGGTCTGTCATACTATCTGTGTTCTCTGTTTGAATTTACTTGCTTGCTCAGCTCTTTCACAGGTGAAGAATTTGAGGAATTTTATTACCCAACTGGGCATGTCCAATGTGAGCCAGGACAGACAATAGAAGCATCCCTGTTAGGATGAACTGCCCAATTAATTTATTTCCCCCAAAATGTCTGGTTGGGTCTTTTTGTGTTTTTGAGGAATGATAAGGAAATTTACAATCATCCCTTTGTGTCTTCCTCAGGTACCAAGGAAGAAAACTGGTATTTGTCCTGCCTTCCTTGCACCAGTAGCTGGGTGGGAGTAAGGCCTTTTCATAGAGGGTCTTGTTTTAAGTCCTGATAAATTGTGATTGATGTGACATGTGTCCTTCTACTGTTTTCTTAGGGCTGCGCTCATTAATAGCTAACTGCCTACCACAGGCTAAGCTTTGTAAATAACCTGACATTTCTTCTTGCCAATTTTAGTATCATGTCTTTGTCTGTGGATTTGGCTACTCTGGCTATGACATACCTTGCAGAAGATCTTCTTGGATTGATTCTATTTGGGGTCCTTTGTATTCTTGAGTCTGGATATTTAAATGCCTCTCTGGGTTTGGAAAATTTTCTTCCAGAGTTTCATGAAATAAATTATCAATTTCCTTATTAGTTTCTTCACCTTCTGGGATACTGATTATCCGAATGGTTGGCTGCTTAATGGTATCTAGTATTTCTCATATATTATGCTTATTTTGGGGGGTTATTTTCTTGGTCGTTTTAGTGATTTTTTTCCTAAGTCAGAGGTTTTGTCTTCAACATCTGAGATTCGATCTTCTGCATGATCTAATCTGCTTTTAATACTTTTGAGGGAGGTTTTGATTTCCCATATTACAACGTTCTCTAACTGCTCTATTTCTTTCTTTTTTTTTTTTTTTATGGTGCGTATCTCTTCTTTCAAATCGTAAA